GCCCACAGCCCTGACCCTCTCTCTGCTCAGGGCCCCCCCTCGGGCTCCGGACACGCAGAGCGCCCTGGGCAGGGACAGGGGAGGGAGGCATGACGGGGCCTCCCGCTGCTCTCAGGCGCCCTGTGCTCCTCCGACCACTGAGGGCAGGTGGGCGCTCAGGCCCTGGTTCTGCGTGGGCACCGGGGCACCAAGCTCCTCAGACAGGAAGTCCGACCCCGGGCACCCCAGGCCACCTCTCTATTTGGGGGACGAGCCAGAGCGGTGTCTGGGATGAGAGAGCTGGAATCTGAGCCCTGACGGGACCAGGAGCTCCTGCTCACCACGTGACCTTCTGTCCCTGATGGCCCTGAGCACAAGGGGCACAGAAATGACAGCGATGACGAGGATGACGCTGATGATGATGACGGGGCCCCAGGGGGAGCATGTCACGTCTGAGCTGTTGGTCCCAGGCGTCGCTTCCCAGGCTAATGGGCCACTGCACCTGGGGGAGGAGGGGCCTGTGGGCAGCGGGCAGGGCCACCTCGGTGCCTGGAGCTCACCCTGACTCCGAGCATCCCCTGCGCAGCCTGTCGCACAGAGGGGGAGGCTGCTGCCAGGGGTGGGCCCGGGGAGGGGAGCTCTGGGGGGAACTCAGGTCCGTTTGACTCTCCCTGTCCCGCAGCCACGGGGACACGGAGGGAGGGGAGGAAGGGGCAGGACAACCTGGGACAGGGACACTGGACACAGGAGAGGGACAGCGAAGGAGATGCCAGGGGTGAGGACAGAGCTGGTGTCAGGAATGGACTGTGAAAGCCAGTGCCCCAGATGGAGGGACAGACCCGAGGGGGGCGGGGGGCTGGAGGGGAGGGGAGGATGGAGACAGAGTGACAAATGGGGGTGGGAATGGTGTAGGGGGGACACACAGGACCCTGGGCCTCCGTGTGGCAGTCACGCCAGAGACTAAGCAGCCAGGTCATAGCTGGAAGGGAGGGGCGTGGGCACTGGGGTTCCTGTTTCCGAGGGAGTGGACTCCTCACTCTGGGAGCCTCTTATGTGCACCCCTGACTCGGAATGGCAGGACCCCTCAGTCTCTGACCGCACCGCCCTGAGCCCGGCATCTGGGATGTGCACACCGGGCCATGGGCTGAGGTGGCAGCGGTGTGGGAGCCACAGGGTCAGCGGGGCAGCTGGGGGGTCACTGTCTCCCCGATGGGGGGCCCTTATCTCCCAGGGGGCCCTGGCAGCGCCTCCTGGGACCCGGGTCACCTACCTGGTCCAGGGCGTGCAGGCTGCCTGGGTGCCCCCCGCAGAGAAGGTGCCCGGCTGGCAGTCTTCACACAGCGTGTCCTGCCACTCGGTGCCTGAGAAACGACAGTGTCGGGCAGGGGGCTCCTCGGGGCACCCTCAGGCCGGGGTCCGGGGCCTGTGTCCTCAGGGGGAGCCGCGCTCACCTGTCTCCCGCAGCCTCTGGCCCGGGCGGCAGATGCTGTGGGGCCTGCACTGGACGCAGGAGTCCCCGTCCTGTTTCTCACAGAAGTGGCCGCGCCCGCAGCCGCACACGGTGTTGGTCTGGGCGGAGCACTTCCGTCTGGTCACCTGGCCCAGGCCTGGGACCCAGAGAAGGAGCTCAGAGCAGCAGCAAGGCCTGCCAGGGCTGGGTGAGTGCCCCGTCCCGGGAGGAAACCACGCTGAGGGCTGGGCAGGGCCCGCAGGCCTGGGGAGGGAACGGGGACAGGGGTGCAGCCCCCTCTGCTCCCCATGGACCCTGCTGGCCGCAGCCCAGGCTCAGCCGGAACATAGGCCCGGAGCTGCCGGACGCAGAGGCCAGTCCCAAGGGGGGTCCGAGGGACGGGGCGGCAGCAGCAGGGACGGTGGGAGGGTCTTCTCCACAGAAGGCCAGACGTCTTGGGCGGCTGAGACCTCCCAGCCTGAACCCCAAAGCATTGTGGCCTCCACCTTGGTCCCAGCCTTCCTCCTGGGGGCCCCAGCCTAACCGCCTGCCCTAGGCAGAGAGGAGACGCAGGGGCCAGTGCTCAGCCGGAGGAGGACCCTGGGGAGGGTGTGGGGACCTGGGAGCCGGCACTGCAGGTGGAGGGGGCCTGGCCCCGGGGGCCCACGGGCTGTGCCTCAGGCAGGGGTGCCTGCAGGGCATTGGGTGGCTGAGCCTGGAAGCGCGGGTGACAGGTGATGGGGCTGAGGCGCTGGCCCTCTCTAGGGAGAGGCAGGTGTGGCCATGGGATGAGGCTCCTTGAAGGGTCCTGGGCAGGGAGTCCCCTGGGTGACGGGAGGCCCGGCCCCGGGCAGCCTGAGGGCCTGCAGTCAGTGTGGCCGGGATGGGGGGCTGGGGGCTCGGCACAGCCGGGGTTGGGCTCCTGGTCTCACCTGGGTCACAGACGCGGCAGGGCAGACACTCGCGCAGGGCATTGAGGTGGGCAGTGTAGGTGCCCCGGGTGCAGGGCACACACACTATGCTCCAGAGCTCCCCGCAGGACTCCTGCACCCGGTAGCCTGCAGCCAAGCAGGCACACACTCAGGGCGGGAAGGCCCCGGAGCCCCGGCAGGTGTGACACTCCCAAGGGGTCACCCCACATGAGCTGTTCCCCGGGCCAGTGAGCCTGCTTGGCAGGAAGTGAGAACTTTCTGGAAGTTGAGGGCCTCCTGGGACACAGAGGCCTGGCTCTGAGCCCCCCTCTCCTGGCCTGAAATGGGATGCCCACCCCCAGCCCCGCCCTGAGCAGTGAGCTGAGGGTCTGGGGGCGGGGGCGAGCTGGGGGTGCCCTCTGTGCCCAGGGCCTGCAGGCCTCCCATGAAGGGGTGCTGGGAGCAGAGGGGCTCCATCCATGGAGGGGGGATGCTTGCCCTCAGCACAGCCCCGCCCCCGGCGCCCCCCAGGGGCCCTGCAGAGCTGCACCCACCTGGCCAGCACTTGGGGCAGCACAAGGCCCCCTTCGGGAACTCCACCTCTTTGCACGAGGGCATCGCCAGTGCGCAGGGCATGGCTGTCAGAAGGAGGAGGCTCAGGGCCTAAGGGAGATGGGGGTGCGTTGGAGCAGAGCAGCTGCCTGGGCCTCAGTCTCACCCTCCGGGAAATGGGCCATGCACTGCAGGGGGGCCCAGGACAGGATTGTCTACTGAGGATCCTAAGAGCCTGGGTTTGGGACCACCCTGTGTGTGACCTCTGACCCCCTGGGCTCAGGAGAGTGAGGCCCTGCCCCTGGGAAGGCCAGGGCTGCTCTGACCCAACAAACTCAGCCTCGCTGTTCCCTTGCTGCACCCCGAGTCCTGGGAACCACAGGGTCAGGGCAGCAACAGCTCTGGCGGTGGGCGGGGGGGAATCTCTGGCCTGACAGTGTCACAGGCAAAGGGCTGGTGAGGGGGAGGGGGTAGAAGTGGACGGGGAGGGGAAGGCCTGTCAGTCAGAGCTGCACTGGAGTCGTAACCACGGGCTTAGGAGCTGAGGGCTCTGGAGCTGATGGAAACGCACAGGAAGCCTCCCTCCCAGGCACAGACACCCAGTTCCTCTTCCAGACAGGGCTGGGCGGTGGGGGAGGATTCGCCCTGAATGGGGGTCGGGGGGACACTGGTCCACAGAGGAGAGTCCTTGGAGGGGGTGGTCTCCTGCCTGGGCCCAGTCCCAGCGGCCAGGGCTGTGGGCAGGGCCGGCTCCCCCACCGGTGCTGGGCTGCTGGGCGACATCGTCCCTGACTCACCAGCCTCAGGACGTCAGCCGCGGGCCTCGGGCTGCAGGGGGTTGGCTCCCAGCTGGGCAGAGGCTGCATGTCCACCCCAGGGACCCTCATTCCCTGACCGCTGCGTAGCGACTCCGGCCGGCAGGACAGACGGACTCATTCAGACTTCAGCTGCTGTGGCTGCTCCCAAAGAGAAAGTGAATCTAAAGGGATCTCCTGGTGCATTTTATGCTCTGCCATGTGGCCAGCACAACAGTGACAAAAGGTCCCACCCCCTCCTGCAACAGCCAATCCTCATACAGGAAGACCCACACCCACGTGCGCCAGCCAATCCTCACACAGGAGGGTTCACACAGGCCTTAAGGGCTCCCTGACCAGTGGAGGGACCAGGAGGGCGGGGCCGGGCCCAGCTCAGCAGAGCATTTCCATCCCCTCCCCTGTCCAGGAGCCGCCTCCCCCACCCCCCCGGCGCGAGTTTCCAGTAGAAGTGGGGGCCCCCCAAAGCCCATCTGACTCCCCTGTCGCTCTGCACCCCAGAGAGCTGACCTGCAGCCTCTCCCCACGCGGGCAGAGCCCTCTGAGCCTGTGACCTGTGTCCCCTCTGCCTGGGGGAGCTGTTTGAACCCACGCCCCACCCCCCTAGACTGGGCCTGGGCGCTCCTCATCCCCTCCCTCCAGGCCCTCTGGCCCCTTCAGCACCCACCCTCACCTCTGCCCCCCCCGCCCC